CGCGCTCGGGCCAATCCGTGGCTCCAGGGAGCGAGGGGGCGGGACTCTGCCCTGCTTGAATATGCACGAGGTGCCGCCTGCCCGCCCCCAGCCTCACCTGCGCGCACCTGGCCGCAGAACGGCACGCCGCGCCCAGTGTCCCGCCGCCTCCCGGAGGAGGAAATAGTTCCCGGAACTCGTGGCGGTCCCAGGCCACCTCCCAGGTCCGACTGCAGAGGGGAGCGGTTCCTCCCACAACTCTGTCCCGCGCTCCGCAGAGGGAGGGGCAGAGCCAGGCTGGCTCTTCCTGAAAGCGCCCAACCCGATCAGAGAGGGTAACCAGCGGACACAGGGCCAAGTTTCGGGCCCAAGAGCCAGGTGGCTTGGGGAGAAGGGCGTCGCTGAGAAGCACCTCCTCTCGGGGCGGGCCCCAAGCCTAGACCTTCCTCCGAGTCCCTGCCGCCGGAGGCCCCGAGGGACAGCAACAGCGACAGGAGTTTTTAGCACAACGAGGGAGGGGATTGGAACGACGACGCGGGAGCAGACGGGGCGCGGACGCTCGGCCCGAGGCCCTGGGGGCAATGGCGCGCCCCACTGCACAGCTCGAAACAACTAGGGTTCAAGCCACACCGACAAAGCGCTTCTCCGCCGCCCTTTTACCCGGACCCGGCTGCATACACGGAAAGACCAAAGGAGTGCCAACTTCCTTCCTCGGACTACCCTTTTGAAAGCAAAGCTAACTAGAGGTCTGTTACTTCCCTGAGAAAGGCGCCGGGGTCGCGTTCCTGCCGTGCTGCGGGCGGGCTGCTCTTAGCTCTTGCACAGAGAAGGCGCTCTTTGTGGGTGAGCAAAGCAGGGGTGAGGGCCTGGGGGCCAGTTCCACGGACAATGGTATGGCGGGGTGTTGTAATCGTCCAGTATATCCAGTTACAGCAGAAAAGGGGTCTAATTTTTAATGGCTTTGGCTTTATCACATTAAGCAGGCACCCTCTCATTTAAAGGCACAGAGTCCTCTCTTCTGCCCCACCTCCCTGGGTCTCTGAAATCTAATCCTGAGTTCCCAGAGGATCACTGCAAGGCAGCAATCTCTTGGAAGCTTGGATGCATTGCAATAGCCAGGTACAGGGGCAAGGCTCCACTCTCCTGCAAGCATCAGATACCCAGGGCCAAGGCCCAGACTAGCCCCTAAAGTGACAGGTCAGAGTCTGGGTGTAGGAGGCAACTGAGGTAGTCCCTGAGAGTAGACAGTCCAGGTCCCCCAGAGCAGACCCCAGGCCCTGCCAGGGCTGCGTGGTCAGTGTTCCAGATCCCTGGGCAGCGTGAAGTCCCTGAAGCTGTAGAAGGAGATGTCTCCGTGATCCACCAGGGCAAAGATCAGAGGAACATCCCCACTCTGGTAGGACAACCGCTTGAGGGTGCAGAGGTCTGGGACTGGCTCATCAAATCTGCAGGGATCAAGGTTAGACCGAGACCTGAATGGAGCCCACCCATAAGCTTTTGAGAACCCAGCCCTCTGAGGCTCCCAGGGAATGGAGAGTGTAAGACAGGAGTTGGGGGTGCAAGAAGTCTGGCCCTGGGGCTCTTCTCTGTCTGCAAATTGCATGGCTCTCATAAGTTCTCCAGGTAAGACCCAGAGCCCTGGTTGGGTAAGGGGACTAGAAAAAGTGAGGTTCTCATCATTCTTAGCCTGAAAATCCCTGATTCACATACCTTTTGCTGGGTGAGCCTGGGACTAAAGTGGCACAGGAGAGAGACTACCTGAAAATACCAGGAACGAGAGCTGAAGATTGGGAAGCTTGGGTTCCCAGAGCACTAACTGGCTATGTGGCCTACCTCAGGACCTCTGGTTTTTCTCAGGGGGTGACAGACTAGTCAGGGCCATGGAGAGGAGGTCCACCTGGTTTACAAGAGAACTGGGAGCAGCCTGGGGGCAGCGCTCACTGTTTTCGTACCCACTAACACACATCCGGACATAAGGCTTGCCAGGGTTATTCTTTCGGAACGTGGCCACAGCGTCAGCCTGGTAAACATCAAAGCTAATCTCCAAGCCCCCAGACTTCTCCAGCAGCCTGAGGACAGAGTAAGAAACCTTAGGAAACAGGGGCTCTCCTCCCCCACCTTTTCTTTCCAAACCACCCTTTCCCTCCCCTAGGCACTGAGGTCCTGCTGTGAGGTGTCACTTGAGGGCCAGAGAAGGCTCAGCTATAATAAATCTACTCTTGTCTCTCACTCCTCCCTCTCCCCTAGACACACATGAATATTAGCCAGGGGAGAGGTCCCTGGAATGATCCCCCAGCTCATGCCCAACTTCAGGAGTCAAATCCCAGCTGCCAACTCCTGCTGGCAGCCAAAGTACTGTGGAGACAGGCACCACGAGGAAACTCACCAGGCACCTCCATCAGCAAGGTGTGTTGTCTGCAGCATAGAGATCTGCTGAAGGACAGTGGCTACAAGGACAGTGAAAATAAGGCATTAGTGAGGAGGGTCAGCCATCCAGACTCCTCTGACATTTCCAAATCTGCCTTCTAGTTTAGGTTTGCCAGATTTAGCAGATTTTCAGTACAGGTATGTCCCATGCAATATTTAGAACATACTTATACTAAAAAAAATTAGCTGTTTATCTGAAATTCACATTTAGCTTCTGTGGCACCCCCTACTCTAGTTACTTACAATTTACCATGTTCCTGTAAGGACTGTAAGTAGTTCTGAATCCGTTAATACCGTTCTTGCCTAATTCTTTATTCTTAACATGCAGGGCATACAGTAAGCCTTCTTTTTATTTGTCCAACATATCACATCCTTGTTCCCCTCTAACAAAGGTAGGAGTACAGGGGACCAACAGCCAGTTGATGGCAGAGCCATCTAAATTGCATCTTGTTTATGATTTTAAGGACGTGGCCGTAGTTTTCATTCCTCCTTGCCTCTCCTTGGGGCACTGACTTGCCATCTCCAAACTTTCCCACCTGGGTCTTTCGGCTGCTTCCCAGAATGGACTATCCTTGTGGGTTCCACTCTACCAACAGCTCTCTCCTCCCCCACCAGTCGTGGTCAATCCATTCCCCTTTCAAAGTATTGTGATTCCTCAGCTACCAGTGGCCTACTGCAGGGTGAGGGGGTACCTGGGGAGTCTGCCTGACCAGGGCTCAGCAAGGGGGTGACAAGCTGGTCCCACAGGTGTGGGGGGCGGCTCTGGGTCTTCTGCAGGTGCCGCTTCTGCAGCAGCTGCTTGTACTCCTGCCAGCTGGAGCAGCGCCGCACCTCGGGGTCCAAGTTTACATCCTCCCGGAAGTGCTGGGCCTCTGCCTGCTGCTCCCGTTCCTGCCGGGAGAGCTTCTCCTTCCGCTGGTTTAGCTTCTGGCACCAGGACGCAGCATCTGTCTCCCGCCCAATGATGTTGGCAGGGAGCAGCTCTGGGGCTGGGGCAAGCAGGAGGGTGTGGCGGCTGTCTGAAGCCATGTTGGGGAAGGAGATCTGCTCAAAGTTCCAGCGTGGCTTACAAGCCCCCCTGGCCCCATTCTCTACTTTGCCACTCTCCTGACTGTACCACACCCCCTCCCTGGCCAGACCAGAGTAGGGCTCCAGGGACCCCAGAAGCTGAAAGGGGCCCCCTGGGCCCTTTAGGGGACTTGACTCCTGGGGTTTCTCCTCTGGGCACCGGCTGTTCTTGTTTCGGGGAGGTGGGCTGGAGGTTGCCAGTCTCTCAGGTGTCCCATCCACCCCCTGCTGGGGGTTCTCCAAGGCCTTGGGCTTCTTATTAATGGACCTGAGGGATATGGGGAGGAAATGCAGCACATCTGCTCCTGATTGCGCAGGTTCACGTGACCCACACATGCCCTACTGCCTCCCTGAGCCTCCACAGGAGCCACCCAAGCCCAGTGTTAAGCCCAGGCATTCTCTGAGGTCCCGAACACCAGCACTCCCTCAACAGCTCTCCCTTGAGGGGTGGCCAGGTGGGAGCATTACCGAGAGCTGGAGCTCCTCCTCTTCCTCTTGCCATTCCGATCCTTCAAGTGCTGGGCACTGCCATCCAAGTTCAGCTGCCTCTCATAAGGGGACAGGACAGAGCTGTGGGATGAGAATGGGGAGGGCAACAGATCCACTTCCTCAATCTGGTGCTCCCAGTGGAGTGTATGAGGGACTGGCCCAGATTAAGTCAGTGGGCCAGGGTTAAAGCCATACCCAAGGGCTAAGGCCCAGGGCAGACCTGCACATAAGGAACATGGGGGCAGCCACAGGGGCCTGCCCATGTATCTTTGTCCAGGTCTCTGGGTCTCACCAATGGCACCTTTGAACAGAGCCTCCCTGGAACCAGGGCTCCTGTAGAGCTGGCAATAAATGATTAATTACTGGTAAGAAAAGATCAAGGGGACTAGAAAACTTGGAAAATACAGAAAAGTGAAACTAAAACTCATGGATACCACTATAACATTCTGTTTCTTATAAATACACTGGCTGTCTCTCTCTCCATTTTTTTTTTCTGTCAAAAAGACACTGTACTATCATACTGCTGGGGGGGGGTCTCATTTTACATAGCTGAAAGGCTGCACTGTCCAATATGGTAGCCTTAGATACAAGTGGATATTTAAGTTAAATTTAAATCCATTAAAATTAAACAAAATTAAAAATTCAGGCCCACAGTTGCACAAGCCACATATATTGGAAAACACAGAATATTTTTATCACTACAGAAAGTTCTATTAGCGCTGCTCTAAAGGTTAAACTAATCTGTGTGGCCATGCTCTCCCTGTTGGGCTCACAGGATGTTTCCACGATCACTGATTTTGTAAGGTGATGGTGTTTTATGTAAGCTCTCCACTTAATGCAAGTTCTGTGGGGCAGTGGTTTGCTCTCTGCTAGGTAGTCAGTAAATGTTGTTCAACGAATGAATAAACATTCTCACAGGTGAACTTATGCACACATCTGAGACTGTTTCCTTAGGATATGTTCCACTTTCAGGAATTAAAGGATGTACTTATTCTAAAGCACTCTTGACATACTGTGAAACTGCAAAGGCTGTACCAGTTTCAAACTTTCAAGAGTCTGAAAGTCTCTGTGGCTCTTCGCTATGCTGGATTACTAAAGTGGTGATGATCTTCAGAGGCCCCAGAAGGAAGGAACATCTAACCTAGCAAAAGGAACATGCAGCCCTACTCAACTGTTAATTCCTCACTTGGTCCTTCATAATTTCACTCAAGAAATCTACTTGCACACCTACTAAGTGCCAGGAATTGTCCCAGTACCACATCTACATGCTCACAGTGAGCTGTAAGTGCTCAATTGTTATCTGTGCAGTGAATGGGTTGAAGATGGGGCTTAATCTGATAACCCAGGATCAGCTGAAATGACCCAGATTTGTCCCAACATGCGTCTCAATACAGCACTTCCAGCAGAGGTCTCCAGCCCACGTCCAGGGAGCTGCAGCTCTGGCCAAGGATTCCAGATGAGAAGAGGCCACTTTCTACCTTGGGGCTAGTCAGCCAGGTCCCAGGACTAGAACAAATGCAAGGGAAATGGGATAGGGATTTACCTTGGTTGAAATCGTCGAACCACATAGCCCAGTCTCTTCAGGTGGCTGAAGACCTCAAAAGAAAAGTAGAGGTCAGATGTCCACTTTTGAAAACAACTAGTTTCTCCAGACAACGGTCATTCCTCACACCCCCTCCTCTGCCTCTCCTACAACCCCCCGATTCCAAACCCTGAAACTGGTTGGACTATAATCCATTATAAACACCCTCCCCAAACTAAGGTCTCAGACGCAGCCCTCTACTGTGGGCACACCCCCATACAGCCCAATGAGGTTTGAAACACCATCCATGCAGCCATGATGCCCACATTTATGACTCTAGGCTTATACCCCTCCCCCTCTGTCTTTTTCCTAGCTGTGAAGTCAATTGTCCATTCGCTTGCTTGCTTATATATTACCCAAGTGCCACTAGGATGTAAGCACCATAACAGCAGAGACCTCACCTATCTTGTGGCCTCAGCACACCACTCCATGCCTAGTGCCTTGCAGGTACCTATAAATACTCCTTAGCTCAGTGTGTGGGTGGCTCCACTCCCAGGAGAGGGTGGCAGATACCTGGTACTGCAGGAAAGTCCTGGTGTCCTCGGTCAGCAGCAGTTGGTAGGCCTCTTGGATAGACAGCGGCAGGTCTTGGTGGAAGAGCTGGATGGAGCCCTGAAATTGCGACCAACAGCTTGGCTTGTGAACCCTCCCTGCAGTGGCACAGCCAATAGGGCAACTTCCCGGTTCTGATTATCTGCGTGCTATATGCCCCTCTCATCATGGCAAGAATATGGCCAACCAGGAAGAAGGTAGGGGTGGTGGAGAGGCAGCACCACTAATTTAAACCAGAATCCCTGCTCCCTGCATTCTTGTCTCCTGCTCTAGAAATCAGTTTACGAGCTCTCTGAATACTGCTGTATATACTTTTTCTCTAATAGAAACATGTCCTTCCAGCTCCTTGGTCCCAATCCCTTCCCTACCCTCCCAGGGCCCCACTCACACACTCCAGCAGATACAAGGCCTCTTCCGGGTGAAGCCGCTGCCGGCCCTGCTCTGAGAAGCCCATGGTCTGCCAGAATTTACCCTGCGTGGGACCCAGAGCAAATGTCACATAGGAGCCAGGAGAGCAGAGAGGGCGGGCCCCCTGTCTCTGTGCCCCACCGCTCACCGCAGGAGACTTCAACTCCACGAAGCCCTCTTGCGGTCTCCACTCGGCGGCCACCAAACTGCCCCTGGCGAGGAGTAGGGAGGGGTCGGTCTCAGACTACCTACAGGATTAGTCTACCGGGTCCGGCCGCCTGGCCCGCCAGCCCTGGCTCCGCCCCCGCCCCGGCCCGCCCCCCTCACAGGCGCTCCACGCGCTCCTCCGCCAGCAGTTGCCAAAGCTCCTCGCGACACAAGCGCAGCCGCTCAGCCTGCTCCGCTGAGC